ATCCCCAAGAAGACGGCGCCTGCGCGTCGTACAGGTACTGCGCGTGGGCGACGGGGGTGGCGTTGAGCAGCTCGCTCGATGTCGCGCGCGGCACCGTCGTGCGCGACATCGATCGTCGGGGCGGGGCAGTCCACGACCCTGGAGCCACAAGCCCAACTTGTCGAGCGTGATGATGCGCCGGCGGGCAGTGGCCGGTATGACTGTCGCTCGGAGGCCATGCGCGGCCCCCGAAGCGGCGCGCCGCGAGGCTGTGCCAAGGCGCGCGGGCGGGCCTCCTCCAGGAAACCCAAGCCACCTGGAGAAGATCCCCAGGGACATCAGCAGCGCGGCGAGCGGCAACGCATGTCGAGCTGCCCGGTCACCGCGTCGCACCACTCATTGTAATGCTCTGCTGCCACCTCCGCCAGGCGCCGCCAGGCGCTGTCCTCGCACTGGACGCCGCTCTCGAGGGCGAGCTGCTGGCGGCCGCGGTCGCGTCGCCTTGCCGGCGGGGGCAGGGGCGCCCGCCGCCCCATCCAGGTGGCAGTCTCGCGCCAACGCCCGCCCCGCAAACGCCAGTCCACGACGCGCTCGTAGAGCGGCCCAGCGCCGAGGGCCCCCTGGAGCTCCAGAAGTGCCCGCAGAAGAGCATGCTGATCCCACGCGCGCAGGGCGCCCACGCGGTCGAGAGCCCCCAGGAGGTCCAGCCAGGCACCCCGCGCACTCGTTGCCCAGGATCCTCGGGGCGTTGCCGCGGCCCCCGCGGCCGCTGGCGAGTCCGGGAGGACCGCGAACGCAAGTTCATGAATCGCAAGAAAGTCCCGCGGGGGGCCCCGGGGAGGCCGCCGTCGGCCTCACCCTCATGATGAAGTCGATCTCCTGGGCGAGCACGTCGAGATCAGCGAGGCCCTCGAGAGGGCCACCCAGCGCCTCGCAGCTGCCAGCCGCGGCGCCCCAGGGCGTCGCCGAGAGGGCCCTCTGGCCAGATGTAGGCGCCGTGGAAGACGGGCAGTCGGCGGCAGAAATTATTCAGCAGGCTGCCCTCGCGGGAGCGCTGGGCAAACGGGGCGCGCCTGCTGCTGGTCTGAGATCTTGGATACGGCGTTCCAGGTCCCAGCCCAGCAAGGCACCCTGCTGCCGCCCAGTGCCAGAACCATATGCAGTTGTGAGTACAGCAATTGCGCATAGCTCCCTCGGTGGCGCCCCCCATGGGGCCACGAACCCACGAACCGCATGGGGGGTGCGCCGAACTGCGCGGCGGGGCGCACGACACGAACGAAGACGATAGGTCGAATTGCGAGAGACTGAGCGCGGGTGAGTCCGAGCGCGAGCGAGTCTGAGTGCGAATGAGTCTGCGTCCGAGCGAGTACATCTGCGTGAATGCGAGCATGGATGAGCCAAGTGTACACGCATATGAATGTGAATGGTTCGGGCATGCCTGACACTGGGCACTCGCGACGCTGACCGTGGCCACCGCAGGGGGCTTCCCCGGGGGCCCCGACGGCAGCGCCCGCACGCCGCGACGCAAATGTCGGCGCGCCCCTCGCGAGGATCGCGCCCGCTCCCCCCCCCCTCCCCCTCTTTGCCCGCGCGCCCCAAAGTCCAAGGCCGCGGGCGCGGCGCAGCGAGGAAATCCCCGCGACGCGCGAAGGTCGCCGCGCAGGCGGCCCCGGCGACGCGCGCGGGTCGCCCGTTGCGCGGAGCAAAGAGAGCTAGCCGGCTGGCCGGTAGCGGGCACGGCCGCGGCCGCTGGGCAGAGCGACGACGGGCGAGCGCGGCGCCGGGCAGAACGCAGCGCGGAGTTCCCGCGACGCGCGCAGGTCGTCCCGAGAGGGCCCCACGACGCGCGCGGGTCGCCCGCGGTGCGAGGCCAAACAATTAGTTGGACAGTTGAGAGATGGCGCGGCTCGGGCGGGGCGCTCCTCAGGTCAGGCCTCGCGGATGAACTCGGGAGACGCACGCAAACTGCGCCGCTGAGGCCATCGGTGGAGCCCCCTACGGGGCCGCGAAACGCTGTGCTGAATTAATGGGGGGGGGGGCGCATGCGGGCTGCGCCACTGGGGCCTTCGGCGGAGCTCACTATGGGGCAACGAAACGCTGTGCTGGGCGGGGGGGGGGGGCGCGTGCGAACTGCGCCACTGGGGCCTTCTGTGGAGCTCCCTCCGGTGCCGCGAAGCGCTGTGTTGGGCGGGGGAGACGCATGCGAACTGCGCCGCTATCGGTGGAGCCCCCTATGGGCCGCGCTGGGTGGGGGGCAGCGAACTGCGCCGCAGGGACATTCGGTGGAGCTCCCTATGGGGCCGCGAAGCGCTGTGCTGGGCGGGCGGGGCGCCTGCGAACTGCGCCACTGGGCCCTTCGGTGGAGCTCCCTATGGGGCCACGAAGCGCTGTGCCAGGCGTTGCGATGATGGTCATCATGACGGCGATGACAATGACGACGCGTTGGCGATGACGATCATGGGGGCACGCGGAGGGCAGAGGCAAGGGATGGGGGGAGGGAGAGGGGGGAGGAGGGAGATGATGGAGGATACGCGGTGCGCTGTCGTTTCGAAACGATGGCCACAGGACGGTTGTGGAGAAGGTTGAAAGGACGGGAAAATAAAATGAAGCCCCGCGGGCTTCCCGGGGCGCCCTGCGCGCGGGCCCGCGCGGGGGGGCAGGGCCTGCGCGCGACTCCGCGCGGGCGCCGCCAGACGGGGCGCCTCCCCGAAAGCGCCTGCGAGCTGGCGAACAGACGGGCGGATAAACGGGCGGACGGACGCGCGACGGCAGGCAACACCAAACAATCAGACAGACGGGCAGACGGACGACAGGACCACGACCCAAGCGCAGCAGTCCCCAACGGAGGCGCCAGGCGAGAGGAACGCACAAGCGGCCCATGCACCGACAGAGTCGCGACGACGGCAATCGATTCCACCGCCTCGGGGGGGCGCGGCGCGGACCCGCGCGCGTCGGCACCTCTTGTCGAGTCGCCGCGCGGTTGCGGGCGCAGCGCGCCCGGGGCGTCAGGGGAGGGGGCGCCCTGCGAACAACAAAAAAACTGATGTTCCCAACGAAGATCCGACTGCGGACTGCGCTGGGCGGTCGTCATTTGGCGGCAACGCAACGCGCGCCAGTCTGCTGCGAGCTTACAAGCACACGAGTACTTTCTGGGTAAGTTTACGAGCGCTCGGATTACTGGTCAAACACGCGGTCTTCGACCGCGCGCTCGACCAGCGATCCCAGGGCGACGGCTCGCGCGTGAATGCGACGTTGGCCCGGGAACCCGTGGCGCAGCAGGGCGGCAAACCTGTTCGGGCCCTATCCAGGAGTGGAGCAGGGGGGCCGCCCCGAAGCCCGCCCCCAGGAACTTCGAGAGGCCCATCAGGGTCCGGGGGGGCGTCCGGGGGCCCGCAAGGTCTGAACCTCGCCGCGCCAGCTCGCCGAGGAGCCCGTGCCCGAAGCCAGACCGCCCCCCCCCCGCGCTGGGCGGGGCCGACGCGACTCCGCCGCCGAAGAAGGCGCCGCTCGAAGCGAAAACTTGCTTCGCCGCCGCGGAGTCGATCGAGCCCCTGAACCTGGGGAACAGGAGGGCCAGTCCCATCAGCTCGTCGACCACTGCTTCCGGCAGTCGGCGCCGCGCCGCGTGGCCCACGCTTGGCGCGCGAAGCCTCGCGCAGAGCCTGCCCGCGAAACAGACGACCCGGCGAAAAATCGCACGGCGAACCCAGCGCCCGACCAGCCCCCCATGAGAGCGAACGGCGCGGCCCCAGCGAGGATGACGCGCGCGGCGACCACTCCGACCTGCTCGACTTTCGCCGCCCCCCCCCGCCTACGTCGAGTTGCGCCGGGGAGATCTGCCCCGCGGAAGTCTCCGCCGGGCAGATCGGGCAGATCCAGGGTTGCCTTCTCCTCCCTTCCCCCGATGCCCGCGCGATCGCATGCCCGGCGCCCTTGCCGGACCCGGTGAAGAGTCGCCCGTCGCGTCCGGCCCGGGGCGACGGGGCCGTCGCAGAGGCCGACGATCGCGCGGCCGCCCGAATCGCCGCCCTCCACGACTCGATCTGAGGCGGAGGCCCGACCATGGGTGATGCGCCCCCCGTCGCGGGGGAGCCCTGCGAATCTCGGCCACCTCCAAAGCCTTCTGGCCCCTCGCGGCAGCGGCCGCCAGTGCCGGCGCGATCCCGTCGACCGCGCTGGCGGCTCGTCACGCTGGTCAGGGGGCCTCCGCCTACGCCACGAAAAGATACACACGGACAGCCTCCGACAAACTGTACATGTACCCTGATGAGCGCGTTTCTGCACTTTCGGCAATAATGGGCATTGTAGGGGGGAGGGAAGGCCAGGAGGGGTATAATGCCACGAAACGTGTGAGGGTGTGCCGTAATGGGTGGTGGGGAGGCATGCGAACCCTGCCACTAAGGCCTTCGGTGGAGCTCCCTATGGGGCCACGAAGCGTGTGAGGGGTGTGCCGAAATGGGTGGTGGGGAGGCATGCGAACCCTGCCACTGGGGCCTTCGGTGGAGCTCCCTATGGGGCCACGAAACGTGTGAGGGGTGTGCCGAGATGGGTGGTGGGGAGGTATGCGAACCCTGCCACTGGGGCCTTCGGTGGAGCTCCCTATGGGGCCACGAAACGTGTGAGGGGTGTGCCGAAATGGGTGGTGGGGAGGCATGCGAACCCTGGAGGGAGGAGGGCGAGGAGGAGGAGGAAGGAGGAGGAGAGGAACGCGGGGCACCGTCTCTTCAAAACGAGGAGCCAACACCACAGGATGGTTGGGAAAGCATGTATGAAGTGTGGAAGCCGACCGGCCGGCCGACGCGCGCGCAGGCTGGCTCGCTCATTTTCCAACACTCTTAAGCCAAACCGCTGCAGTCGGATAAAATGCACGGCAATGCAAAGGAGTGAAGGCAAGGGCAGCAGGATGGTGGGGCGGGGAAGGGTGCATTGACTAATTTGTCTCTCCCTCCTCCCTCCGCCGAATAAGGCCGAGTCCCTCATATGCACCTCTCGCCCCACGCGTGCTCCCGCTAACGCCAATCCTCTGCGACGTACTGCAAGGCGTACCCGTTCTGGCTCACAGCACACAGAGCCACCTGCACGTTGCCAGCGCCGCGACGCGCGCAGATGAATCGGAGAGGCGCCCCTCTCCGAGTGCCCGTGCTGCCATCAACTTAGCCATCTTCACGAGCGCAAGCAGCAGAAATCAGGCGGATGGAGAGGAACGGGAAAGAGAAGTAGAACGAGAAGGCGGACTCAGACCGGCGGCTTTGCTCATCAACATCGACGCTCTGCCGTGTCTCCATAAAAAATGTCCCGCCCCGTTCGTGCGCACCCCTCCGTCACGTATGCCCCTATACTCCTCCTCCACAAACTCCTCCATCCTCACCGTCGAGAACAAGGAAAAACAACACAACGCCCGCAGGGGGAGGATTGCAAGGATTACCGCATTCACAAAATCGGGAGCGAAGACCTACAAGCTCAAGTTGTGGTGAACAGGTCGCGAGATATCCTGTGCAGATACTCGCGGCGTGTGTGAGAAATGGGAACACACACGCACACACACATACGCACGCACGCACGCACGCACGCACACACAAACACACACACACACAAACACACACACACACACACACACACACACTGGGGGTGGCGAGGAAGAGGACGAGCGGCAGCAGCGGCGCCTCCGCCCTCCTCGCCCTCGAGAAGGAGGGCAGAGCAGCACGCGCGCCCGGCCGCCTCGGGGTCACCCCGCATCTGCACGGGCGCCTGGCGCAGTGCCGACCTGCCCGTCTCCTCTGCTGGCGGCCTGGCCGTCCGCTCGGCGTGGGAGCTGCGGGTATATACACCAGCCCTGTTCCATGGGGCTTCGCAGAGACACCAACAGACAACGTACAAAGTATACTGTTCCGGCTGGTTTTCTCAGCGACGGGCGTTGAACCAAATACATATGAGGGCGCGCCCGTGGAGCGCTCCCAAAGGGGGCCCTCCTTCGCTACCGCCCTCCCCCCCTGGACCTCCCCTGTCCGATCCCCCCCCACCATCCCCCCTTTTTTCTGCCCCTCGGAATCTACCCCCCCCCCGCCCTCCCACCTTTCGCGCTCCGGCAGCTACCCAATCCCTTTCCAAAGGGGGGGGAATGGCTACCCCCCCCTCTTGGAATCCCTCCTCCTGGAAGAACCCCCTCCCTCTCCCTGTATGTTTTCTTTTTCCTGCCTCTCGGAAGCAATTCCCGCCCTTCCTCCCCTTCGCGCTCCGGAAGCTACCCCCCCATCCAAGAGGGGTGGGCACAACTACCCCCTCCCCCATCTGAACTCTATGAACACCCCTCTGCCGGACCCCCCCCCCTCGCACCCCCCTCCCCCCCGTTTTTGGCTAAAGGGGGTGGGGGCTTGAAAAACCACACCCCGTTTGGCTGAAACAAGGGGCGCCGAACACCAAAAAGGCGCCGAAAACCAAAAGGGCGCCGAAAACCAAAGGGCCACCGAAAACCGAAGGGGCGACGAAAACCAAAAGGGCGCCAAGAACAAAAGGGGCGCCGAAAACCAAAGAGGCGACGAAAACAAACGGTGCGCCGAAAACCACAAGGGCGCCAAAAACCAAAGGGGCGCTGAAAACCGCAAGGGCGCCGAAAACCAGAGGCGCGCCAAAAAAACCCAAGGAACGCTGAAAACCGAAAGAGCACCGAAAATCAAAGGAGCGCGGAAAACCAGGAGGGCGCAATCGAAAACTAAAATGGCGGCGACAACCAGAAGGGAGCCGAAAACCACAGAAGCCCCGAAAACCAAGAGAGCACCGAAAAGCAAAGGGGCGCCGAAAAACAATAGGCGCCGAAAACCAACAGCACGCGAGAACCAAAGAGACGTCGAAAACCAAAAAAGGCTAAACAGGCGGGGCGCCGAAAACCAAAGATGCGCTGAAAACCACAAGAGCGCCGAAAACCATAGCAGCGCCGAAAACCAAACGGGCACCGAAAACCAAAGGAGCGTCGAAACCCGAAAGCGTGCCGAAAACCAAAGGGTCGCCGAACTTCAAAAGGGCGCCGAAGATCAAAGGGGCACCGAAAACAAATAGTGCGCCGAAGACAAAAGGGTCGCCGAACAACAAAGCGGCGCCGAAAACTAAAACGAGCTCCGAAAACCACAGAGCGCCAAAAAACCACAGGCGCTCCGAAAACCAAAGGGGCGCCCAAAGCCACAGGGGCGTTGAAAACCTACGATGCGCCGAAAACCGCCAAGCGCTCAGGAAAGAGAAAGGGGCGCTGAGAACCAAAGGAGCGCCGAAAACAACAGGAGCGCCCAAAACCACAAGGGCGCCGAAAACCAAAGAGGCGCCCAAAACCACAAGGGCGCCAAAAATCAAAGGGGCGCCGGAAACCGCAAGGGCGCCGAAAACCAACGGGGCCCCGAACACCAAAGAAGCGCAGAAAACCAAAAGGGAACAGCAGACACCAAAGGAATGCCGAACACAAAAAAGTGCGCCGAAAATCAAAGGGGAGCCGAATACCGAAAGGGGTGCCGAAAACCAAATGGACTCGGAAAACCAAAGAGAGTTTCGAAAACAAAGATGGCGCCGAACATCAAGAGGTCATCGAAAGCCCCAAGGGCGCCGAAACCCAAAAAGGTGCCGAAAACCAAAGGAGCGCCGAAAACCAAAAGGGCGGGCGCCGAAAACCGAAAGGGCGCCAAAAGCATGGACAGCCGAAAACCAAAGAGGCGCCGAAAACCAAAAGGGTACCAACAACCGCAGAGGCGCCACCAAAAACGGCGCCGAAAACCGAACAGGCGCCGAAAAGCAGAAGGGCGCCAAAAACCAAGAGGGCGCCGAAGAACAAAGGGGCGCCAGAAACCAAACGGGCGCCGAAAACCAACAGGTCGCCGAAACCAAACGGTGCGCCGAAAATCAAACGGGTGCCGCGAGCCAAAGGAGCGCCGAACACCACAGGACCGCCAAAAACCAAAGGGGCGCCGAAACCCAAAAGGGCGACGAAAACAAAACAAAAAAAACGCCGAAAACCAAAAGAGCGCTGGAAACCAAAGGTGCGTCCCCCAAAAAATAAGGCGCCCAAACCCAAAGAAGCGCCGAAAACCAAAGGAGCACCAACAACCAAAGGGGCGCCGAAAACCAGAAAAGCGCCGAAAACTACAGAGGTGCCGGAAACCAAAAGAAAACCGAAACCAAAAAGCGCCGACCGCCAGCAGGGCACCGAAAACCACGCGTGCCGAAAACAATAAGAGGCGCGCCGAAAACCAAGAGAGAGCCGAACAACAATCAAAACGGCGCCGCAAACACAAGGGGTCCCGAACCACAAAATAAGGGCCGAACACCAAATTAGCGCCGAAAGCCAAATGGGCGCCGAAAACCAGAAAAGCGCCGAAAACTACAGAGGCGCCGGAAACCAACAGAAAACCGAAACCAAAAAGCGCCGACCGCCAGCAGGGCACTGAAAACCACGCGTGCCGAAAACAATAAGAGGCGCGCCGAAAACCAAGAGAGAGCCGAACAACAACCAAGACGGCGCCGCAAACACAAGGGGTCCCGAACCACCAAGTGAGGGCCGAACACCAAATTAGCGCCGAAAACCAAAGAGGCGCCGAAAACCAGAAAAGCGCCGAAAACATAAGAAGCGCCGAAAACCAAAGGGCGTAACGAAACATCGAAGGACCCCAAAATCTCAAGGGGCGCCGAAAACCAAAAGATCACCAGAAACAACCGAAAACCACAGGTGCGCCGAATACCAAAAGGGCACCTAAAGGGCGCCAAAAGCATGGACAGCCGAAAACCAAAGAGGCGCCGAAAACCAAAAGGGTACCAACAACCGCAGAGGCGCCACCAAAAACGGCGCCGAGAACCGAACAGGCGCCGAAAAGCAGAAGGGCGCCAAAAACCAAGAGGGCGCCGAAGAACAAAGGGGCGCTGAAAACCAAAAGAGCGCCAAAAACCAAAGGGGCGCTGAAACCCAAACGAGGCGCCGAAGACCAAGGGGGCGCCGAAAACTACAGGAGCGCCGACAACCAAAGAGGCGTCGCGAACCACCTGAGTGCCGACAACCAAAAGGGCACCGAAACCCAAAGGGGCGCCGAAAACCAGCATGACGCCGAAAACTCAAGACGCGCCGAACACCTAACGGGGCCCAAAATCCCAAAGGCTGGCCGAAAACCAAAGAAAGGGTCTCCGAACACCATCGATGCGCTGAAAAACGAAAGGGGCGACGAAGAACCAAGGGGGCGCCGATAACCAAAACGGCGCCGAAAATCACAGGGGCGCCGAAAACACAAGGAGCTCTGATGACTAACACGGCGCCGAAATCAAAAAGGGCACCGACACACCAGAGAGCGCCGAAAACCGCAGGGGCGCCGAACACCAAAGGTGCGCCGAAAACCAAAGGGGCGCCGAAAACCAGAGGCGCCGAAAACCAGCGGTGCACCGAAAACCACAGAGGTGCTGATAACCCAAAAGGGCGTCCAAGGCGCGGAAAACAAAAAGGAGCGCTGGAACCCAAGAGAGAGCTAATAATCAACGATGCGCCGAAAACCGCAGGCCGCTCAGAAAAAAGAAAGGGGCGCTGAAAACCAAAGGAGCGCCGAAAACAACAGGGGCGCCCAAAACCAAAGGGGCGCCGAAAACAAAAGGGGCACCGAAAACCACAGGGGCGCCAAAAACCAAAGGGGCGCCGAAACCAAAAAGGCGCCCAAAGCCAAAGAGACGCCGAAAACCACAACTACGCCGAAAACCAAAGGGGCGTCGAAAATAAAACTTCGAACCCCCCCTCTTTCAGCCACGGCCCTCCAGCTGGAAATGCCAACAAAAGGATAGGGGTGGGCAACTTTGGAACACCCCCTTCCTTTGGAAAGGGGAGCCGGGGCGTGCCCCGACCCCCGAAAAGGAGAGGAAGGGGGAGAGTTTCCAAGCCCCCCCCCCTTTGCCAAGGACACCCCAGCTACGAAATCCAAACAAAAGGCGGGAGGGGGGGTAGCTTCGGAAGCCCCATCCCCCCCTTTGGAACGGGGAGCCCAGGCTAACCCTGGGCCCCGAAAAGAGGGGGAGGGGAGGGGTAGTTTCCAAGCCCCCCTCCCTTTAGCGAGGGCCCCCCAGTCAACAAAAACGCCCACGAAAGGGGTGGAGAGGGGGGCAGTTTCGGAAGTCCCCCTCCATTTTCCTAAGGAGGGGGGGGGGTAGCTTGAAGCTGGGGTCACCCTTTTAGTAAGGAATGTTCGACGGGCGAGCTTTCCTGTACACACACATATTCTTATATACACACATAATTATTATTCCTATCTTAATTCTCCCACACCCGGAAACCGACAGGGATGGCCCCCCCCAATAGAATCTGGAAGGCCTCGGGGGTCCCCGAGGCTTTCCTGGGCGGCCCGCAAGGGCCCCAAAACGGACCAATAATGCTCCAACAAGCGCCGAAGACGGTCCACGAGGGCCCCGAGACGCCTAAAGATCGTTCCAAGACGCCCAAGATGGCTCCAAGACGGCCCAAGAGACCTCCAAGACGTCCCACGAGGCCTCCAAAAACACTCCCGAAAGGGTCCCAAGAAACCAAAACTGTCAAATCCGAACAAGAAGACTCATAGTGTTAGCATCTACGACTTTTCGGCCATCACGGCGTGAAAGACGGTCCAAGATGTCTCTAAGCCTGCCCCAAACAGGCCCCAGAGGCTCGCAAGAGGACCCCAAGACGGCCCAGGAGTTTCCCAAGACGGCCCGAGAGGCGCCCAAGACGGCCCAAGAGAGCCCCAAGACGGCGTCAAGAGAGCCCGAGAAGAAGAAAACGAG